GTAATTATTGCAGTTTTTATAAACTGCAAGAATTACCCTGCAGGGTTAAGTCCTCCTCTAGTGGCTGTCTATCATACAGCCACTAGAGGGACTTCTGGGTTTTTAAAACGTGTTTTAAACTACACTGGACGTACTCACGCTATGCATGAGGATCTCCAGCATCGCCGGAATCCCCATAGGAAAGCACTGAATAAGGCTTTACTATGAGGAGGTCTAATGCGCGTGCACAGCCATTGCCGCACATGCGCATTAGGTCTCCCGTGCCAGCTGAATGTGGAAGAGGTGCGGGGCGGAGCCTGACCCAGGGTCGAGGGACATCGGCGTTGGATTCAGGTAAGTGGGATGGGGGGTGGGAGGGAGAGGGGCACTGCATGGTCCTGCAGTGGCACTGGAGAGTCCCTTTATTCCAGAATTGAACACATGGAATCTCCAAAAAAAGGAATCAGTGGTTAATGGATTTTATGACAAACGTTGGGTTAATATGACCAAGGTTCCATCTGGCAATGGATTTAGGCCCAAGATTCATTGAATGAAAGATTGGCAGTCACTGGACTGAGATCTATGTAAGCCAACTCCACCCTTTGTAAGTTACATGCACCTAGAGGACCAGACAAGTAGTTGGCATTGTCACAAAGCCACCTTTCAAGTACTGCTGTTTATATACCTCCCAACAATTCAAATGGACAAAGAGGGGCACCTTAATTATACGGGTGTGATTGCAGGCATGGTCGGGGGAGTGGCTGGTCTGAGAATTTTTAGGTGACTTACTAATAACAATAATAATTTATGTAACTAAAAAGTAATTTAGAACAAGAACAATGTATCTTATTTACACAGACTGATATCTAAACACATGTATTGTAGTTTAAAGAGTATTATTACTGTGGAGCTCTGTTATACACTCAGACACACCAACAATATGGATCTCCTAGAAAAGGGGGACATTAGTAAAGTAGAGAGGGACAGAGGGATTGCAGTTTTACAGTGAAATATGAGTAATCTCTTTTGGTAGACTCTTAAAATGTAAGTTGTCTATCCCAAGGTTAATGATATTGTATGTTATATTTCTCTTTTAATCAGTGCAATATACAGTAGGACATATTTCGTGGGTTGCTACGTTTAGCGAGGGAAGCAATTGGGCATTGGACAGAATCACAAGAATACACTGGTAAAGAATAGAATTTCAGAAGAAGTTTCAGACTATTCGATACAGAGCCTCAAAACAGACAGACATAAATGTGAAACGTGAAGATCAGAACTACTAACAATCCAGGGAAGAGGGGAGGTAACGTGGATCTAGATGTGGTCATAAGATAAAAGGAAAATATATAGGAATACCATATCTCACACTAAAGTGTGAATTGTTGGGAATTCAAGGCGAATTTAAAATTTTCGGCCAAAATAAGTAGATTGGACAATTTTTCCAAGTCAGCGATAGTTTGCGTCTGGCTAGTTAGACGTCAGATTTGAAGTTCACTTTGAATTGCTGACACTTCACACATTATTGAATAACCGTGCAACGTGTAATATTGAGAGAGCTGTCACATTAAATAGGACACTGCAACAATTAGTCTGTTGCTGCAATTACTTATCCCTGTGCAACTTACATCACTGCGTGAGAATTCCATTAAATGCAAATAATGTAACAAACTCCAAGAACATTTTGTAAGACGTGGATGTAACATTTAAATTGCTTTTCTCCGTTTTACTTTTCTATGTACCCAAAGACTACTACAGACTACATTCTAATGTTCTGTTATGAATTTAAAATTTAGACGGCAAAAATCCCAATGTTGTTTTCAATTTTCCCTTCCTTAAACTGCTTATTTCTTTCCTACACTTCAAATCAAGAAAGCAGGCAAGTCTGTAAGACCAGCATTCAATATAACAAGTAATCATACTCTTTAATCCCAATCTACGAGCCACTGTAAATAGCCAATTATCCTATCCATCTCTACATTGTGCAGTTCAATCTACGACTACTAGAATGCAAAAAAACGGAGCTATAATCAGAAAATACACGGGGAAAGTTGAGAAATGTATGTGTTCTTTATGGCCCCCAAACATTTCCAAATCTAAGAGGGCTGTTATTGTATTAGTTTGGGAATAGTGTTTCTCATTAATCACATTAATCAGTGAAATCTTTGCAAGCAGAGTATAACTAAAGAGGATTTGGATGTGTTCTGCACACATGCACTCATTATCAAGGTGTCCTACCCATCCAGAGGCTCTGGCACCTTGGCACATACTTACCTGACCTGGCACATGTTCTTTCTGGCCATGCCTCTGATTCAATCCTCAGCATGTTGTGTGCTGTATATAAAATCCACGTTGTCATCATTTACTGTCGTTACCCCTTATATTGTAAAATAAATTTAAAAAAAAGAAGAAAAAAAAGAACCGTATTGCAAAGTGCTGAAGCTTCGGTCTTTTTTAAACAAATTTTATTTCTAGATTCTAGAATAGAGTAGGCAATCTACGGCAATCCAGATATTGTGGACTACATCTCCCATGATGCTCTTGCAGTTATAATGCATCAAGAAAGATGTAGTCCACAATATCTGTAGTTCCGAAGGTTGCTTACCCCTGTTTTAAAAGAACACAAGAGTTTGTATATAATATAAGCTGTACAAAAAAAAAATCAATAGTGCTGTGGAACACTATTTATTGTTTAACTGTGCCATTAAGAGGGATTCATTTAGATGGATTATTAAGTGCCATATTTAAGTTTTCTTTTTGTCTTTCTCACTTGTATAAAATATATTTATTGAATAAAATATCCACCTTTAATCTTGTTTTCTTGCCTTTTTATGTGCTTTTAAAGAAATTCTTCACTTGGCTCGTTTGGAGGTAATTTTTATTTATTTTTGTAAGTCATCTGTCAACTCATTACAAATCACTGTTTAGTTAATAAACCGCCATTGGTTCCAGAGACCACTTCAGAAGCACTTTTATTTTTAAAATGACACCTTTAATTGCGTTAATTGTTCCATCCAATAGACTATGTCCGCACGCACTTAACGTGCGTTCCTGTTCTCGCTACATTTGCTGAGCAAGAGCTGAACATTTCTGGCGTCTTACAGCTGATTTAATTTTTTTATTTTTTTTCTTCGGTCTTCCCCGGCACTTCGTTTTCCGGCTTGGTCCGAACTGCTAGTTCTTGCGTCCCGTGTGGCCGACGGCACGGTCCCTTTCTGTCACCCTATCCCCCCCGCTTTCCTCTCGGCTACGTTATGACTTCATTCCCAGCGCAGGCTGCATGGAGGAGGAAATAAATCTTCATAAAGGCAGTTTGTGATTAATGGCGGGTCCCAGGCTCAGTGCTGGACCTTTCCCATTACCCACTAATAGAAAGATGGAGAGCCCCTGTCTGAGGCACTTGCCTTCCGTCATTTGTTCCACTTTGCAGTCCATTTACTGGGGAGAGTACAAGGCACTCCATCAAAAATATTTTCAGAGTTAATTTCCGTCCCTTAATCTGCTTGATTCTTATTTTGTATCGAATGGCAGGATCGATTTTCATTGCGTCTAAATTAAATAAGGGACTTTCCATGCATGGCTGCCCCCCGGAGGAAGAAGGGGGGAGGGGGATGATTGTGGGGGGGGGGGGGGGGAAAGGAAGGGAAAAAAAAAAAAAGAGAGAGAAGGCGACAGAGAGAAGGGAGGTAGAGAGGACAAGGGACAAGAGAGGAAAAGCAAGTTAAGATAAGAAATAGTGAGAAAAAAAAAGCACAATCCAATATATAACAATTAGATAGATAGAGAGATAATAAAATATAGATCTACGTATATACTTTAGATATTTTTATTATATAATATAAAATCGAATAAAAATATATATACTCTATAATATACAGTATATATTTATATATATATATATATATATATATATATATATATATATATATATATATATGTATATTAAACAGATAGAAGAGAACAAGCGAGATAGAAAGAGAGTGGGAGAGATTGCGAAAGAGAGGCGGAGAGCGAGAGAGAAAGAGTTCGTTCTACAACAGTTGGAGAATCACATCTTTCCAAACTCATTTCTTTTACCATTTTTCTCATCATTTGCGAGCGCCCCCCTCCTCACCCCTCTGCTGGTTTAAGGATTAAATCTGTCACTTTGTATTCCTCAATCCCCTTGAGGGTCTCCCCCTCCCCAATCTCAGGCAGAGACATTGGTAACTGCTTTCAACCTGACCCCAGACGGCCTTTTAACCCTTTCCCTCCTAGACAAAGACACAAGGGCAAAATGAAGCAGAAAATTCAGTTTTCTTATATTAATAATTTCTATGATACAAGTGCCGTAGAGATCATTTGAAATAACCGTGTCATTGAGAGACTTAGTAAATAAAATATATAGCACCACATGCATACATATATAAATATTGTCCCGTATATAAATGCATACACATACAAAGACATGATTACAGTTTAGTATTTACCTTGTCTTAGCAATGCACTCTGCAATCTACAAGGTTATCACGTGGTGTAAAACAGCTTATCAATATGGGGGACCCATGGATAATTCAGGTGATACATCAGCACCAGCTTAATGTTTTAAGAATATGTTACTTAATAAAAAATGATAATATTTGGGACATTTGTTAAAAAGATTCTCTAAACACCAATACATCTATGGCATGCTGTAGTGGTTATAGTAGCATGAGTCCTCCGGTTCCATCTGACAAAGTATCAAGACAGTTTCAAACATTTTGAACTTCATATTTCTCTGTTCTCCTTGGTCTGAGTTTGTACACTAAAGCAAAAATGTGTACTTTATTATTATTATTATTGCCATTTATATAGCGCCAACAGATTCCATAGCCCTTTACAAATCTTATAAGAGGGGGGTAATTAACAAATATAGGACAATTACAAGAAAACTTACAGAAACAATAGGTTGAAGAGAACCCTGCTCAAATGAGCTTACAGTCTTTAGAAGGTTGAGTGTAAAACTAAATAGGACTTCCGCATTACAACACCAAACCACACTTGGACATTATCATACCATAACATATTGCATGTGGATATTATCATACCATAACATAGTGCGTGTGGACATTATCATACCATAACATAGTGCGTGTGGACATTATCATACCATAACATATTGCGTGTGGACATTATCATACCATAACATAGTGCGTGTGGACATTATCATACCATAACATAGTGCGTGAGGACATTATCATACCATAACATATTGCATGTGGATATTATCATACCATAACATAGTGCGTGTTGACATTATCATACCATAACATAGTGCATGTGGACATTATCATACCATAACATATTGCATGTGGATATTATCATACCATAACATAGTGCATGTGGACATTATCATACCATAACATAGTGCGTGTGGACATTATCATACCATAACATATTGCGTGTGGACATTATCATACCATAACATAGTGCGTGTGGACATTATCATACCATAACATATAGCGTGTGGATATTATCATACCATAACATATTGATATTGCGTGTGGACATTATCATACCATAACATAGTGTGTGGACATTATCATACCATAACATATTGCATGTCGATATTATCATACCATAACATATTGCGTGTGGACATTATCATACCATAACATTTTGCGTGAGGACATTATCATACCATAACATTTTGCGTGAGGACACATTTATTGTAGTTTAAAGAAACATTACTCTGAGTATTTTTGCTGTGTAGCTCTGTTATACACTCAGACACCAATAATATGGAGCTACTAGCAAAGTCGGACATTAGGAGAGAAAAGAAGGACAGAGGGATTTGGGTCTTTAATAGGAATTGTCCCTCCTAAATAGGGACACTTGGGAGGTATGCTGGGGCATGTAAGCCATGTCTACACCTGGGGCTAACTGACAAGCCAGCCTAATCAATGCTCATGAAGCTCTAGTCTCATTTTTTCAATGTCCTTAGATTACTCATTTCGGTAATGTCTACTGATACCTCTTTGAAGTGTATTCTAAGGGCAGTTCCCTGGAGTCTCTTCTTTCAGGACAGGTAACCAAACCAGTGAAACTGGAACCTATATTCGGAAATTATTGGAGGTATGCACATCTATCATGTTGGAAATTGATTTTTCTTTTTTAATTTTAGCTCTCACATCATTGCAAACTACATTGCGAGACAGATAAGGACAGGAGTTTCAAGACCACAGTCATTACAATTCCTAATATCCTCAAGTAAACACAATAACAATAAGCTAGTTCCACATCAAACTTTGTTGGAGACATGGAACGTTATAGCATCTTTAAAGGTACACATGTTTCCATGGGGACACATAAGGAAGTAGCACAATAGCATGGAGAACTTCAGTAGCATTCATCATCATGGGAGAAGTCACAGGACACTCCATATACCATAACTAAAGAGTCATTAATCTCCACAAGATGGGTGAAATTTCTAAATCAATACAAATATATATATATATATATATATATATATATATATATATATATATATATATATATATATATATATATATATATATATATACATACACACACACACACACACACATATATATATGTATATACACACACACACATAGGAGGTTCCATCAATAAAGTGTGCCTTGTTTTAGGTCATAATTTGTCCAGAAACTAAGTAAACATTACAATTATTGGCCAATAAACCTGATATGAGATGATATTCATGTCAATTTTACTTCTGCAAAAAATCCACCTTGTGCCTTTTTGTGCCAATTCCCCCTGATGTCACATGATGGGTCACGCAGATGTAATGAACTCTCGATCCTGTTTCCTCCTCTAAACAGGAAGAATGCATAAATATTAAGTAATAATTATACAAATAAACATAAAGATGTATGCCCACACAGACATTTGCACTTGGAAACACAACAGTTTCACTTAAATTGTAGGCCAGAGGGACCTTCTCTTCCTTTGTAAGATGGTGAATAAATTAAATTTCGACATTATACACAAATATATTCGGGGCCAATACAAACCATTGTGTGGAAATCTATTCACAAACCGGACTTTACATAGGACACGAGGCCATGCGTTTAGACTGGAAGAAAGAAGATTTTGTCTAAGGCAAAGGAAAAAAATTTTTTACTGTAAGAACAATCAGGATGTGGAATTCTCTGTGGTTTTATCAGAGTCCATACAGATGTTCAAACGGCTACTAGATGCATACCTGCAAAAACAGAATATTCAAGGATATAATCTTTCAATGTAGGGTAATAACTGCTTGATCCAAGGATAAATCTGACTGCCATTCTGGGGTCAAGAAGGATTTTTTTTTCCTAGCTTGTTGCAAAATTGTGCTTCAAACTGTTTTTTTTTGCCTTCTTTTGGATCAACAGCAAAAAACAAATGTGAGGTAGGCTGAACTTGATGGACGCAAGTCTCTTTTCAGCTATGTAACTATGTAACTATGAAAATAATTTAAAGATGCAATCACAACTAGAAACTAACAAATAGCACATGGGAAGCACTACCCAAATTGTACATCCCTGACTCAATAACAACAAGATTATTCAATATAATTACCCAAAATAATTGTTTTGACATCATATATTTTTAGTAGATTTATCAAAGTGTATCCTCCTTGTTATAGAAAAGCAAATTCTGAATAAAAGAATCAACTGGTCATATAAAATAACTTTAAGTGAAACAATTGTCTGGGTTTGCTATGAGTTCAGTTTCAAATGCAAATGGGCCCCGTTTTAATGGCACAAGATAAGCTAAAACCAGCTTAAGATCTGAGCGTGGACCCACCGAAGGGCAGGCTTTTTTAGCTGTTGTCTGTTTGCTTTTTTTTCTCCCTAACTTTCAATGATAGCCATGCTTATTTCTTGGCTTAAAGTTTGCTGCTTATTAAGTGAATCATATCCTGAAAAAAATCACGACATCACCAGTGAAATTAGTTTCTACTGGTTTCAATAAAATTTTGGGGGAACAATGCCTGATTAGTGAAACATTTAATTTCTTCCTTGGGGCAGCTCAAGCTTTTTCAAGATTGGATATTTATTGTTAATGTCAGGATTGACAAAGTGTCCTGAAATGGCTGGACTTCACTTTAATAATAATAACAAGAATAGTCAAGAATAGGCCGAGGTCAGGGGGTGTAGAGAGACAACATGATGGTATGACAAGCCAAGGTCAGGACAGGAGAGATTAGAATAGTCAAAGAAACCAGCCAAGTTTAAATTCCAGAATAAGCTAACACATGATAATTCAATTTTCAGTCTACTAGAGGACATGACAGGGCATTGGTCCTCTGGCAGACTGAGTTTAAATAGCCCTCGTGTCTGAGATATTCAGAGTGTTGCCAGAACATCATCAGACTACGATGCTGAAATGCCACCATACTTGCTACATTTATCTCTAATTGTTCACAAGTCCTTAAATTTAATGTAATCCCTAACTCAAGCCCTTTAATTTATAAGAGGCTTGTGGCTTCCTCATTCCAAAATGCATGACTGTGCAGAATCTCATCTGGAACTGCTTGTCCGGTCTCACAATTTTTCCAAATCCCTCTGTAGAGAAGTTATATCATGTTCGAACTGGAACTGGAACCTTACCTAATTTTGTGTCATCTGCAAACACCAACATGTGAATTTCATTGCCAACTTCAAGGTCATTTGTAAAGAGAAGTGGACCCAGGACAGAACCCTGAGGCACTCCACTTACCACTTTTGTCTAATTTGAACAATTTCCATTTACAACTACTCTACACTATCTTCAAGCCAGTGTTCCATCCAACAACACTATTTTTCATCGCAACCAACTGATGTCAATTTTAATAGTCACCTTTTGTGTGTTCAGAAAAATCCACGTAGATTACATACACTGTAACACTCTGATCCATATTACTGCCAGATATGCAATAAAGTAAGTTTGGCATGATCAGATTTCATAAAACTTTGCGTCCTGCTAATTATATTGTTCAAAATTATTTCTTGAATATTATTCATTAGCAGCTTTTCACATAATTTCCCCAACCACAGACGTTAAGCTCACAGGTCTGAGCTTTTGAACCATTTTTAAATATAGGCATCATATCTGCTTTTCTCCAATCCCTCGGTATGAGTCCAGTACAGAAAATAATCCTTGAAGATCAAAAACAGCAGTATGAATATTTCTATACTAAGCTCCGTAAGCACTCATGGGTGAATACCATCTGGACTTCGGGCTTTTTTTGCACTAACTTTATTTAACTGTACAAATAAAGATTCAGCACCTTATCTTGTTAAATGATCACCTGTTTGCAGTAAGGCTTTTGTAATAGGGATTTGCAAAACTACAGCCATAGATTCTTCTTTGCTATATACATAACAAAAAAAAATATTAAGAATTTCTGCATTGTCCTGATCCTCCTTGATTAGCAAACCTTTCTCAGATTAAAAAGGACCAACACTTTCACATTAATGTAACAAAAAACAAAACTGTGGGAGGAGAGAGGTGGGAGGGGAGGGGGTTGATGGTGCTCTATGAGATTCTCATTTTCAAATTTATCCCATTTAATTGCCCTTTTGCAATCCCAACTGGCATGCTTATATTGTCATAGGATGTTATTCAGACCTATTTAAATGTTTTGAATGACCCTTTCGTATTGTTTATTACTTGACCAACCCCCTTACTAAACCACTTTGGTTTTAACTTGCGTCTTACATTATTGTTTCTCAACTGAATGAAGTGAGAAAAGTATTGCAAAATTTTTTAAAGACCTTCCATTTAACCTCTCTGCTTTTGCAATTGAATAGTTCCTACCAGTTAATTTGTGTAAAGATGCCATTATCCTACTGAAATTTGCCTTATTGAAATTGAGTTTTTGTAAAGCCCATATAAATTTGTTTTGTTTTTGTAAATTGTAAATAATACCATGTTATGATCACTATTTCTCAAATACTCCCTAATCTGAATGTTTGAAAATATGTCAACATTATTAGTAATGACAAGGTCCAGGCAAGCATCTATATCAGTTGGTGCTTCTACTAACTAAGACACGAAAATGTAATTTAACAGGTTAAAAAAGTAGTTTACCCCTAGCAAGACAGCACAAACTGAAAATGATGACCACATAACAAACAACATAGAATGTGACAGCAGATAAGAACCATTCGGTCCATCTAGGCTGCCCAATTTTCATTAGTCCCTGGCCTTATCTTATAGTTAGGATAGCCTTATGCCTAGCCCACGCATGCTTAAACTCCTTTACTGTGTTAACCTCTACTACTTCAGCTGGAAGGCTATTCCATGCATCCACTACCCTCTCAGTAAAGTAATACTTCCGGATATTATTTTTAAACATTTGACCCTCTAATTTAAGGCTATGTCTTCTTGTTGTGGTAGTTTTTCTTCTATTAAATATAGTCTCCTCCTTTACTGTGTTGATTCCCTTTATGTATTTAAATGTTTCTACTATCATATCCCCCCTGTCTCATCTTATGTCATATGTCACAATGTACAGCATATTTGTACTGACCGTACCCGTTATGTTTCACTGGGTCATTGACCGTTGTATACATTAATGGTTTAATGTTTTCTGTATATGTTCTAACCAAGATCTAATAATGCATACATGAAGGTTTGTCAATGGCTTGCATGTACTTATAGAAAAATAAATAAAGGGTTTTTTTTTGTTTTTTTTAAAACTTGTTTGCCTTAACTGTACTACTAGTCCCTCTGGCCCAGGCAACATCTGGATAATTAAAATCCCCAATGATTAACAAATTACCCTGATGTGCAGCTGTATTAATTGAGTACTAATCTTTGGGGGTCTGTAACATATTCCTACCATTAACGAATGCCCCTTTTTCCTCCTATGCAAATAGATTTAATATATAGACATACCCCACCCCCTTTCTATTTTTTTCCTATCCATCCTAAATAATGTATGACCATTTAAATAAATAGCCAATCGCATGTATGAACCAACCAAATCTCAGTAATCCCATTCATGTCAGACTGCTCCTTGTACACCACTATCTCAAGCTCCCCCATTTTGTTACACAATGTTCTTCCATTAGCAAGTAGACATTTAAAGTTACCTTTTTTTTTTTTAAGCATTTATTTAATACCTTCTTACTCTGTCTTCTAAGCTTACCACTCCCTCCAATCCTGGACTTTAGCTCAATTCCATATTATTTCTGTACTATCTACAACATGTATCCATCTGTGTCCTTCCCCAACTTCCCCTAGTTTAAAGCCTTCTCCAACTTTCTCCTAGTTTAAAGCCTTGTCTAACCTTCCAGCCAACCTCTCCCCAACATAACAAACCCTCTTCAATTCAGGAGCAATTAACCAGGACTATAAAGACTGCACCCAAGTGCAAAACTGGCCCAAACCTTGCACCCTACACCTAGACTTCAGCCATGCATTGACCTCTCTAATATGCCAGAGAAGCCACTCACATTTGTAACTACGTATAAAACTTTAAATGACTCTTCCAGGCATACATAAATACAAAAGATTCTTCACTTGAGTTGTCAACTTGCTACCACTCATACCTAACCCACACACATACAAATACACACACAAAAAAAATAAAAAAATAATAATAATAATAAAAAAAATATATATATATATATATATATATATCTAGAAATGCTACTTTTTTATAGACTAACAGGAGTTAAAATTAGCGGCAAGTTCTGTGAGTCAGTACTGTGGGTTATATAGGTGCACATAATTAAAATAGGTGAAAATTAAGTATCCACTCGCCTTAGTTAACTAAAGCTGAAAGTTCAGAATCTACATTTTACAGATACATAAGACCTAACGCCATTTAAATACATGGAGACAGATGACCCGTAGTTTGCCTCCAACACTTTAATGGATATGGATAACCATACTTGAACAAACACAAGGCATAGATAGTTATATTTAGACGAAAAAATGTGTTCTTGAACGTACTTTTGTTTTTTCTTATAATGCAGCAAAGGGGAGATACAGGGATAGAATAAGACAAAGATCAGTGGACATGCAGCCACAACAAGTGAAATCCAACACACATAAACCTTTTAAATGATTTAATATGTTAGGACAAACTTTAAAAAGATGTAATATTTTAAAAATATATATACACATTATGATATTTTTGGTATATTGAGATTTTTTTTAGATATTTCAATATTTTGAGAAAAGAAGTTTATCCAAAAATATAAAATCATTTGAAAACCTTATCCAAAAACATTGAATTGAGAGCAAGATTTGGTCGCTTAGACCCTTTTGCATTCAACATCAGTAGGAATGGAAGATCTGACTGTTATGGCATAAATTTGTCCTTAAATTTGAAATTCACTTTAAATTCTCACTTTAGTGACTAACCCTGTAGGTTCCAGAATGTGTACAGCACAAATCTTTACATCTCCACCACTTCATAGTGACATTTACAGAATTATTTACTAAAGTGTGAATTCTAGGTGAATTGAAATTTGTCAGCTATGCTTGCAATAACAGATTCTGTAAGTCAGCTATGCTTGGAATAACCGATTCTGTAAGTCAGCTAGGCTTGGAAAAAAGGATTCTGTAAGTCAGCTATGCTTGGAATAACCGATTCTGTAAGTCAGCTAGGCTTGGAAAAAAGGATTCTGTAAGTCAGCTATGCTTGGAATAACCAATTCCGTAAGTCAGCTATGCTTGCAATAACCGATTCTGTAAGTCAGCTATGCTTGCAATAACCGATTCTTTAAGTCAGCTATGCTTGCAATAACCGATTCTGTAAGTCAGCTATGCTTGGAAAAAAGGATTCTGTAAGTCATCTATGCTTGCAATAACCGATTCTGTAAGTCAGCTATGCTTGCAATAACCGATCCTGTAAGTCAGCTATGCTTGCAATAACCGATTCTGTAAGTCAGCTATGCTTGCAATAACCGATTCTGTTAGTCAGCTATGCTTGGAATAAAGGATTCTGTAAGTCAGCTATGCTTGCAATAATCGATTATGCAAGTCAGCTATGCCTGTAATAACCGATTCTGCAAGTCAGCTATGCTTGCAATAACCGATCCTGTAAGTCAACAATGCTCGCAATAACCGATTCTGTAAGTCAGCTAAGCTTGCAATAACCGATTCTGTAAGTCAGCTAAGCTTGCAATAACCGATTCTGTAAGTCAGCTATGCTTGCAATAACCGATTCTGTAAGTCAGCTATGCTTGCAATAACCGATCCTGTAAGTCAGCTAAGCTTGCAATAACTGATTCAGTAAGTCAGCTAAGCTTGCAATAACCTATTCTGTAAGTCAGCTATGCTTGCAATAACCGATCCTGTAAGTCAACAATGCTCGCAATAACCGATTCTGTAAGTCAGCTAAGCTTGCAATAACCGATTCTGTAAGTCAGCTATGCTTGCAATAACCGATTCTGTAAGTCAGCTATGCTTGCAATAACCGATTCTGTAAGTCAGCTATGCTTGCAATAACCGATCCTGTAAGTCAGCTAAGCTTGCAATAACTGATTCAGTAAGTCAGCTATGCTTGCAATAACCGATTCTGTAAGTCAACAATGCTTTCAATAACCGATTCTGCAAGTCAGCTAAGCTTGCAATAACCGATTCTGTAAGTCAACAATGCTTGCAATAACCGATTCTGTAAGTCAGCTAAGCTTGCAATAACCGATTCTGTAAGTCAGCTTTGCTTGCTGACGAGCCAGGTCGGGCGAAACATGCGCGTCAGGGGATTGTGTTCAACTCGTATGATTTAGAGTTCAGCACATTGATTTGCGACCGTGCTACTTTATTTTACC